GGGCTGCCTGTGGTGAGGACCTGGCGCCTCAATGAAAGGCACTATGGTGGCCTGACAGGCCTCAATAAGGCCGAGACGGCTGCCAAGCATGGGGAGGCCCAGGTGAAGATCTGGAGGCGCTCCTATGACATTCCTCCCCCTCCCATGGAGCCAGACCACCCCTTCTACAGCTCCATCAGCAAGGTAAGAGGGAGCCCACGGCTCTGCCTTCTCCCCCCGGCCGAGCACGGGCCCCTGGTTGAGAAGGTTGGCTGGCACATGAGGGTCACTATTCTGCGGGGTCCTGGGGGAGTAGGCGGGGGGAGGGGTGCTACTGCATAGAGCTGGGTGAGGCTTATTGGGCAAATGCTTTATTTACCAAAAAATGGAGCCACAGAAATTATATGGAGACGGGGCGGGGAATAGTTTACGCAACTACCGGATAACCTTAGGCTTGTTCAGTAGCCGACTGCTCACTCGCATCCCTAGGCCAGCAGTCAAACCAGACAGTCCCTGGACAAAGTCAGGGCGGAGCTGCATGCCAAAGAGCACAGTGGGGCAAGAGGTGCCCAGCGCCAGTCCTCCTCCCATGGCTCGTGGTCTCTGCGGGACCCCACGAGTTACCTCCCTGCTCTGAGACCTGACCAGTTATTCCTGCCCTTTGCTTCCTCTTAGCCAGTTGCCAGTCCACACAAGGCCCTTCCCTCTCATCCCAAGGCAGCTTCCTTGGCTGGAGGCTTTCTGGGACCCTCAGTCCACTAGGGCCACTGGCTGCCCTTGGCCACGTGCCTAATGATCTCAAAAGCCAGCTGTGCTAACTGCTGGCCGGTCTCAGTCTCTGCTCGCTGTCCCGTCCCAGTACTGGTGGCACTAGGCACTGCAGACAGTGGCATGAAGCCCTAGGATGCTGTTCATCATGACAGTCCAGTGCCCCTCTGGGTCTGCCCGCTCCGTAGCGAGAGCCCAGCTGCAGGTGAACTCAAGTCCACTAGCCCTGGGAACTAGAAGAGGCGTCCTGGAGCTGGGTCACTAAATGGCAGCAGAGACCAGGAGAGCAGCATTCCGGGGCATGGGTGTAGCTGTCAGCTGGGGGCAGCGTGCCATGGGCTCAACACATGTCACTCGCCCGGATTGCTGCCCGTGTCCGCGGTGACTCGGCTCTCGCTGCTGTTCCAGGACCGCCGTTACGCTGACCTGACCGAGGACCAGCTGCCGACCTGCGAGAGCCTGAAGGACACCATTGCCCGGGCCTTGCCCTTCTGGAACGAAGAGATCGTCCCGCAGATCAAGGAGGGCAAGCGGGTTCTCGTAGCTGCCCATGGCAACAGCCTGCGGGGGATCGTTAAGCACCTGGAAGGTACAGTGGCCTCATGCCCTCGGCTCCCCACGCTGACCTGACCGAGGACCAGCTGCCGACCTGCGAGAGCCTGAAGGACACCATTGCCCGGGCCTTGCCCTTCTGGAACGAAGAGATCGTCCCGCAGATCAAGGAGGGCAAGCGGGTTCTCGTAGCTGCCCATGGCAACAGCCTGCGGGGGATCGTTAAGCACCTGGAAGGTACAGTGGCCTCATGCCCTCGGCTCCCCTGCCATGCAGCATGAGAGCTGGCACTGGGCAGGTGTCTGAGCGTGTGGGGCGGGCAGGGCCTAGCTAAAGGGGTAAGCCGGGGCTGGGTGGGTGGCTCTGCTGTGTGTTTGCAGGTATGTCCGAGGAGGCCATCATGGAGCTCAACCTGCCCACTGGCATCCCCATTGTCTACGAGCTGGACAAGAACCTGAAGCCCATCAAGCCCATGCAGTTCCTGGGGGACGAGGAGACCGTCCGCAAGGCCATGGAGGCTGTGGCGGCTCAGGGCAAAGCCAAGAAGTGAAGGCAGGCGCGGTAGAGGCTTGTGAGCAGTAGATGAGCCCCCTTCTGCCCCCCTCCCCCAAACACACTGCCCACAGCCTTAGCGAGTACAGGGCCTGGGCCCATGCACCCTCCGTACACAGCCTGGCTAGCCCACTGGCCAGCTGGCAGCTGGGGGAAGCCCAGTGGCCACAGCCAGGTGGCTCTGCATGGCTCCAGTGAAGCAGGGGCTTGAGCCAAGCTTCCCATGGCCTGTCACCCCAGGCTCTGCACCTGCAGGAGCTTGTCACTAGCTTCCCCATTGTTTGCAGTCATTCCAGGCAGGAGTGCGGATGGGTGGGAGGCGCCAGGGCTGGTGCTGCTGAGTCAGGGACCAGTCGTCTTCACATGCCCCAGGGTCCAGCTGTTTACTCCCGGGGGGGGGGGTGCTGCAGAGCTAGCCCCTGCCTCGCCCCGCCCCCTAGGATGTCTGCTGCCCAGGCCTGCTGCCTAGTGCTGCTGTATGTTAGCCCACACGCTTGTGTACCTGGCGCTGGGCTTCGCTCGGGTCTAGTGTAACTGTCCAGCAATAGCGGTTGTCTTGTTCCAGTTCAATAAAGGAGTGATGTGCAATAGCGGGGGGGGGGTGCTGCAGAGCTAGCCCCTGCCTCGCCCCGCCCCCTAGGATGTCTGCTGCCCAGGCCTGCTGCCTAGTGCTGCTGTATGTTAGCCCACACGCTTGTGTACCTGGCGCTGGGCTTCGCTCGGGTCTAGTGTAACTGTCCAGCAATAGCGGTTGTCTTGTTCCAGTTCAATAAAGGAGTGATGTGCAATAGCTGCTGTGTCTGTGGTGCGGGGGTGGGCAGGCCCCTCTAGCAGCCGTACCCCCCAGAGCCAGGCCCTTGGTCTAGCCCAGCTGGGCCGGAGCACCTTAAAGGATCCCTGTTTACTTTCTACTGCCAGGCATGGCACAAAGTGAGCTCTTGCCCTGGCAGCAGCATCTCTTCTCCCCCCCCCCCCCCTTTCCCAGAGGCCTGGTGCCCACCTGAAGTGACCCTCCAGGGCAGTGGTTCCCAAACTTTTTGGCAGCACCCCCCTTTATTTTAGAGACCCCCCAGCAAAAAACCCAAAACTGACCAGGGTCAAAAAACAAATAGCAGCAAAACTTAAGGGGGGATTGACCAGCAGCCAGCTGGGTCACCTTGTGCCCCCCTCACAGCCCTGCAGCCAGGCCCCTGGTACTGAGGCTGCAGCATGGCCCACCTCTCACAGGACCAGCCCAGCAGCAAGTGGCACGGGCCCAGGCACTGCCACCCGCTAACAGGGCCTGGATTCCAGGGGGAAGACACAAACAGCCCCACAGGAGCCCAGAGTCTCATGGGAAAACATTTATTGTTCCTGGCTCAGCAGTTTAAAAGCCTAGCTTGAGAACAGGGCCCAGGTCAGGACTTAGAGGACCCTGCTCTCCTCTCACACCCCACTAACCCCCAGGCAATTCAAAGTCCAGTGGCTGCTCCAGCAGGTGCAGGTTCTGGCAGCACAGGGGCCACTAGGTCTGCAGGAACTCCGGCTGCACACGGGCCACCTTGCGGAGCTCCTTGGAGTGAGTCTTGGGGCACTGCATCTCGCACCAGCTGATTGGCACCATCTGTGCCACTGGGGCCAAGAGCAAGTGGTCACTGCCCAGTCCCAGCGAGCACCCTCGGCTTGGGGCACCCTCAGCCCACAGGCGCTAAGGCATGGGACTGCTGTACCCCGCCTCCCCACCCTGCAGCCCAGAAGAGAACAGAGGGGCCTGCCCACAGCAAAGGCAGCTTTGCCACAGGAGCCAGGAATCCTGGCTCCCTACCCACTGTGCTGTCAGCGCCCTGCACCAGCCCCACACACTCATTCCTCCCCCACAGCACCGGCCCCACAATGGCTCCAGCTGTTCCCGGCCTGGAGAGCCAGCCACTCACCTGCTTCGCTGTGAGCCACTACCACGCCCAGCTCATTCTCAGCAGTGCTCAGCAGGTAGTTGGACTGCATGTCCCCCAGGGAGATCTAGGCAGAGGCCAGTTAAGGGGAAAGGCTCCAGACAAGGGCTGGGAAAGCCTGCCCCTGCCCCTGCCCCCCCAGTGCTGCAGCAAAGGATACCACTTTAGCCAGGACTATGTCCCCAGGACGGAAACTCTTGTAAACTTCCACCTGGCAGGGAGCACAAGGTGCAGGTTAGTGGGAGAGCAGCCTGGCCCAGGCCCTGTCCCCTGGGCAGAGAGGACGTGGCCACTGCTGCAGAGAACCCAGCAAGCCCCATTACCTTGAGAGCAGCCCAGTAGCCACAGGCAACATAGCCCTGTGGGCGCTGACTCTGGTACCATGCAGCAGGCCCCACAAGAGGCAGCCAAGAACCCCAACCCTCCAGCTCAGCCTGTCCCAGTGAGGGAGTGGGGTGCCCTCTGAGATGAGGGGTCAGCAAGCTCCCCTCCCAGAGGGAGCCACCTCTGGAGCAGGAGCTGGGGCTGAATGGGGTGAGCCATGCCTGGGGGTTTGGCCTGGGCCGCATGTGCAGGGAAGAGGGTGGCAGCCAAGCGCTGGGCAGAAACAAGCAGGCAGCAGCCGACTGACCTTGTACTGTCTTCTCTCCTGTAAGAAGAGACAGCGAGATCTCAGCCCGCGCCTGCTGGGCCCAGGGCCATGCTCGCCTATCTGGAGACGCAGCCCTGGCTGCCCCATCAGGGCTCCGGCATTCGCTTGCAGGAGCCAGTCTTAGGACAAGGGGTGAGCTGCAGGGCAGCAGAGCTGGCTCTGTTCCCCGGGCAGGGCTGGGCATACATTGGTAAAGTACAGGGGGAACCACCCTCCCCCAGACCCCGGGGATGGGCCCGTGAGGTCAGGCCTTACCGTATGGTACCTCGGAAGGTGGATTTCAGCGGCGTGGAGCCGATGTAGGCTTGCAGGAGCCAGTCTTAGGACAAGGGGTGAGCTGCAGGGCAGCAGAGCTGGCTCTGTTCCCCGGGCAGGGCTGGGCATACATTGGTAAAGTACAGGGGGAACCACCCTCCCCCAGACCCCGGGGATGGGCCCGTGAGGTCAGGCCTTACCGTATGGTACCTCGGAAGGTGGATTTCAGCGGCGTGGAGCCGATGTAGAGGATGCGCACCTTGGCAAAGCGGGAGTTAATGCTGCACACCTGTGGGGAGAATCTGGCATGACCCCCCAGCTAAGCATAGCTCCCCCAGGCACCCAAGTACTGGGCAGCAAGACCAGCAGGGACTGGCCCCGCCCCTGCTCCACTGTAGGGGAACTAACCTAACCACCCACCCACAGCCAGTCAGAGCCCCCGTTCCCCTGCCCGGTGATCGACTCACTGCCACACTCCGCTCCAGGGAGAGCTTGCAACTCCCAGCCACACCCACCTGCTTCTCCCAACCAGCAGCCTATTCCCCTCCAGGCTGCCCCCGGAAGCCCCTTGGTGGAAAGCAGGAATTCAGCCTCCATGGCCTCTAGGCTGAGGGTGCCAATGCCAGCGATGGAGGGGGCACCGCACCCCGACACTTGGTTCCCAGAGCAGAGTGGGCTGGCTGGAACTGGTGCCAGGGAGCCAAGAGGCTCCCTGCCTCTCACAGAGCCAGCCTGGAGCCCGCCAGCCCCTTGCGGAGAAGCCTGGCATGAGGCAGAGAGGGGATCAGCCAGAGGTTGAGCAGCAGAGGAGGTTTGTAACCCTTTCCGGTCCTTGCACAGGCATCCTGCCTGCCCTCCCCCCACCGAACGCGGCGCTCCTGCAGCAAGAGACCCAGCAGCGGAGCCAGCCAGGCAGGCGTTTACCTTGCACGTCACAATGGCCCCCACGTTGGGCAGGAGCTGGGACTCGACGTCTCTCACCACAGACACCACCGGCAGCTGCGCAGGCGTAGAGAGGAGCCCTTGGTTAGCCCTGTGCCTGGCACGGCCACCTCCCACCCCCACAGAGCCAGTGTCGGCATACCACGTCCACCAGGCCCGGCCCAGCCCGGCCAAGCACTCGTCCCTGCATGCTTCAGTTACGTGTTTAGTCATCCTCCGTCGTGTGACCTACTCCCCGCTTTTCACAGGACTCAAATCTTGAATTTCAGATCAATGAGCTCTCCTGGGTGGTCTCTGGCCAGACTGCCTGTCTCTCCCGTGCCCGAAAGTGTCACCCAGAAAAACTACCAACTCTCTAGAGCTACCTTCCCCCTAGACTCGCTTCCCATGGGCTCTAGCCTACCAACTCCCTGAGTTTACTCAAGTCTGCCTTCTTGAATCCCACTGTCGCTCTTGGGCTGGCCTGTCCCACCATTCCTTACCTCGCCACTTCCTGATCGCTTTCACCCAGGCTGCCTTCCACTCTCAAACTCTCAACCAGCTCCTCCCTAGTTGTCAAAATCAAACCTAGAGCAGCCTCCCACAGATGCTTTCTGCAATACACTCCAGACTCCTCTTGGATGCCCTGTGCCCTGCTGCCTTCTTTTCCCAGCCGGGGACGTAAAAGTGCAACCGCTTAACCCATAAGCCTCAAGCCCGCCGCTCACAAGCCTCAGCTGATCAGTTTCCGTTTCGGTTACTCGCTGGCTCCCTGGGAGGCTCCGCTGTGGGTTTTCCGTATAAGTGTTATACCGCACAGCCAGCAGCACGTGACCCCGGGATCTGGAGCGGTCACATTGTTAGGTGCTTTTGAGCTCCCTATTCCCAAGAGATGTCCTGGCCGCTGAGGTCCCCCATCACTAGGGCCCTGCAAGCCCATGGGTAGTCTCAGGCATCCACACCTGCGGATGTCAAGGCGGCTCACTTCACATCCACAGGGTGGGTCAAAACCCCTCAGCCCCTTTCTGTCCTGGCTAGGAGGCCTGCAGCAGACGCCTCCCATGACATCGCCCTTCGCCTGCCCCAGAGACAGCCAGTCTGCCCGCGTCCATGGCCTCAGG